CAAAACCCTTAAACCCCAAACCTAAAACCCTTAAACCCTAAACCCCAAACCTAAAACCCCTAAACCCTAAACCTAAAACCCTAAACCCTAAACCTCCCTGAAACGCTCAACTCCGATTCCAAAACCTTCGAAGGCCTTGATCCAAACTTGCGGCGGACAGCAGATTCTGCGCTGCTGTTAAAGTTGTTTAGGGTTTGTTTAGGGTTTAGGGATGTAGGGTTTAGGGGTTTCGGGGTTTAGGGGTTTAGGGGTTTATGGGTTTTCGGGTTTTAGGGTTTAGGGTTTAGGGTTCTTTAGCTCAAAGTACCACGGGTTTACGGTTTAGGGTGTACAAGCTCAAAGTACCACAGGTTTAGGGTTAGGGTTTAGGGTTCTTAATTAGGGTTCTTAAGCTCAAAGTACCACTACAGGAAGCCCTTTTTTCAGGGTTTAGGGATATTAGTGACCGCCTACCAAACCCAGATATGACCATGGTTTCCATGTGGTTTTACAGGTGTTTAGGATTCTGACCAGCTAAAGAGGTTCAAGTCCTCAACAGCAAATCCCTCAACCTCAAACCCTTAGCCCCAAAACGTATTAGGCCCAAATCCTAAACCCTAAACCCTATAAACCCTTAACCTTACACTAAATCCTTCTAAGCTCCTTCGTAGCAGCCTAGGATTCATCAGCTGCGCTTCCGGGACTCCTACGCGCTTATAGGTGTGACCTGGGCAGCCAGAGGGTGTTCAGGGTTTAGGGTTTTTTGTTCAGGGTTTGGGGGTTGGCGTCTAGGGTTTCCATTAGGGTTTAGGGTTTAAGGGTCTAGGGTTTGGGGTCTGGGGCCCAGGGTTGCCATGAATTAGGGGTCTCCTTAAAGGGGGATATACATAAGGATTGTAGAGAAACATAAATGAGTATTTTGGGGTTTAGGATTTGCATGTCGGTATTTTTGGTCAGTACCTTCATAATTCAGAAGCAAGATGGAATACACAACGGAAAATTGCATCTTAGGTTTTTAGGGTTTGCTAGTCTAGGGCTTTGGGAGATGGAGCAAGGCAAGGTTGTATAGAAGAAGGGAGGGGGTTCTTCCCAGGGTTCAGCCTCTCCCTACGACAAAACAATTGTGATGTGAACGACCTGAGCGATTTGTTGAAGCTGTTTTCGAGATTGCTACTGCCTGCTTCCTTCGCAGTTTGCTCGGGAACGGTTCCCAAGTTTCTTATTCCAGGGTCCATACTGCGGGAAGGCAAAGCACCTGGAAAGGAGCTGCAACAGAAGGTATGAATTGGGTCTGGCTGCTAAGCCCTGCAAGAAGTATTGCTTGCGTTGAAGCTTTCGTGAGCACGTGTATAAGTTCATGTGTGAGTCCATATGCGGCGTGTCCATTCATAAGTTCCATAAACTCACATTTGTTGCATATGTATATGGTAGTCTCCTAGAAAAACACCCCCAACATAGACCCCAGACGACCAAAGTCCTCATTATGAGGACCCTCCAAAAGAGTACCCCTATTTTTGGCAATCCCTAAACCTTAAACCCTATAAAACCCCCCCAAATTTTGGGAAACCCCCAAAATCCTGCCTTCCCGTGGCTGACTTCGGTCCTGCACTCAAGGGCTTCTGGCTGGAAGGATGCCCTCAACAGTGGTCCTTTCTGCCGTTATATGAGCTATAAGGGTTTAGGGCTTAGGGTTTAGGGTTTAGGGTTTAGGGCTTAGGGTTTAGGGTTTAGGGGGTATAGTCTAAGCTCCGTCAAAGGGGTTATTAAAAGGGGGAAACTAGGAGGTTTTGAGTATGGCTTACGCGGGCCCGCAGAAAGGCCCACATTTCCTAAAGCAAGCCCAAGCCCTGATCCTGAAACCCTGCGCCCGCCTCACATAAGCTGTAGACCCTCCGACCACCCCCGCCTGAATGTTCACTATCCTGGGTTTAGGGTTTAGGGTTTAGGGTGGGACGTTGCAGGGTACTTGAATGAAGGGTCCAGGTTGAGAAGCCCCGTCAAAGGTCAAAGACGGCCACGCCTATGCAGAAGCATATGCGAGCCGCAACCAGGGCATGGCGGTTGCCGCAACTGGGCGCAATCGTCGGGATGGTAAAGCAAAGGGCCCATGTACCTATATAGAGGATTCAGGGTTTAGGGTTTATCCAGTGGTTCTGTGGGAACTCCTTTGTGGCCCTAAGTATATACCATATAGCTTACATGGACCGTTTGGGCAGAGCCGGCCATGTTTAAATTGACAGCAGTCAGTGTAGGATGCGTTTTTTGCTCCATCTTACTTTCGGCAAGGTCTTGTCTTCAGCCTAAGCCCACAAAGCCCAAAGCCCCTAAACTCTCAACCTGAAAGGGTTTAGGGTTTAGGGCCTAAACCCTGAACCCCTTCCAGGTTTGGAGTTTAGGGGTTTGGGGCTTTGTGTGTAGAGCCTGCATCAGACGTGGAGCCCACAAGGAAGCACTTGAAGAAGCAAAGTGGTCTGCAAACCCTAAGCCTTAGGGTTTAGGGGTTTAGGGTTTAGGGTTTAGGGCATACGGGGATCTTAGTATAGTTTGGAGGACTACAGGTGTTGTAGCTGCTCGTACACACGGCAAAACGGTAATTACGCCTCCAGCATACGAAATTCTACGCAGTCCCAGTATATACAACCCCTAGAAGGAACGACGGAATAGAACTTTGTAGCAATCTGTAAGCAAACCCCACCATGGCCCCTGTGTCCATTCTTTGTTAAATGAACCAAGGAGTAGAGCCAAGCTGGATCGTTTTGGATGGAGCTCGGGTTTCAGAAGCCCATAAACTCCTAAAACCTACCCCCTAGATTCCTGAACTATACGCAGTAAATTCCGAAGCCTCAACGCCTAGACTGTAAACCCCACGCTCTGAATCCCCAAATCCCGACATACCTAGCCCATGTTTGAGAGATTTCGGAGCCGCAAGGGTATCTAGTAGTCCAGAAATTAGGGGTCAGGTTAGGTCATCCAGGGGTACCCTGCTATCTTGAGCTACCATTTTGGTATTGCACAGCCCTAGTTATGAATTTCGCGTAAGCGGTGCCAGGAGTAACCACGAGCCCGGAAAAGATAAAGACACCGAAATGTTTGATGCCTGGACTGTCCCTGAAGCTTACATTTGAGATTTTAAGTGCCGTAAACCTTGCGTATATAACTTCAGCATAGCTAGGGTGAAGAACCAGCTGTACGGCTTTGCAACTATTCTTCTATCCCCAACCATGAAAGCAGATTTTACATCCCATGAACCTAAACCTTAAGCCCTAAACCCCAAACCCCAAACCCCAACCCCTAAATCCTAAACCCTAAACTCTCAATCCTCAAGTAGCAAACCCAAGGTGGCTGCCTTACCCAGGGTGGAGCTACCCATGCAAGGGCATGAGCCGTGTGACGCCCGTACTCCAATTCCGCTGTACCTTGGCTTTTGGGTTTAGGGTTTAGGGTTTAGGGAGGGTTTGGGGCTTAGCGTTCAGGATAGCTAGAGCTAGAAGCTAGCAAGGCCTTCTTGCATCACTATATGTTCTTAGTATCACCCCACCCTCCCAAATCCCTTTGCATTTCACCTGTTTACCTGTTTTTCTTCCTTCGCTCGCCACTTGCCCACTTGCCCGTGTCCCCTCCGTCCCACATATATATATACACATACAGATACATGTATATATAGATAGCGAACACGCGAGTCTCCAGAAAGGCTCCAATAGCCTTCAGGCCCGCTCTGGCTCGTTAAGATTGAGGGCAAACTCAACTGCCATCGTTCCATGGTGCAGGCTTTTTTCAGAGGCCTCCGGGGCCTCCAGAACCCCCAGGGGCAACTTCCCTCCACGGCCTCCAGACCTAGGGCTTCCCTCAACTCCAGCGAAAACCTAGACCTCAAAAGAAGCTAGAGGTACCCAAATATGAGATATGAAGCCCTTTGTCCGCGTACTTTGGTTGCTGTAGGCAAATCCGAAGCCTGAACCCTACCTAGAGTAACCAATGTATCCATAAAAAAAAAAAAGCGTGTTGTACCTAACATTTTGGTACCTTTACCTTTTTCAAGGGTCAGGTTACTCTATAGGAAAACAGCTTAGGACACGCGGAAAGCTCCACTCGACAGGGAACTTGGAGATCTACACAGATGCCTGGCTTCCTGACTAGCAGTCTTTGCCTCACTTGGTTGCGGGACCCATATGAGCCATAATCTAAACTCCTTAAAAGGGGGTTATATAGGGGATATTAAGGGGGATACTAGGAGTTTAGACTATAGCTCATATACCCTCATTTTGATCCCTATGTCTGTTTCTAGTGCTCTAGGATCGCTCGGCGCTCTTTTGTGTTTAGAAAAGCCTTTGCGTTGCTCCTGCCCATGGAAACCCGCCTTCTCAATGAGTCATTTGCACGCAGTAAATAGCAAAGCTAGTGGACGCAAAGACGACAACAACAACAACAACAGCAGCAACAGCAGCAGCAGCAGCAGCAGCAGCAAAAGCAACAACAACACCAGCAGCAGCAGCAACAACAACAACAACAGAGCAAGCATGCCATAGTTCGGGACTCAGTAGTGTGCCTTGCCCGTCTGCTAGTTTCACACAGCGAGGATGATGGTAAGTGCCGCTATCCTGTGTATGAGCCAGACAGCATCACTGCCTGCCTCGGCGGGTCATGGATCATCGTTATGGGCAGCCAGGTCACCCATATTTAGGGTTTAGGGCCTAGGGTTCAGGGTAGCCTTTTTCACAACATCCTTTTTTAGGGTTTAGGGTTTAGGGATTTGGGATCCTTTCATCCACGCGGTTCTTTTAACCCTCTTACAACTCTTCCCGGATGGTCCCCTCCAAGGCACCTCGAATGCACAGCTGATGGCCAACACTTTGCTGTTCATGCTGGGCGGCGAGGAGGCAATTCCTTACATTGACTTTGGAACCTACAACTTTCTGGACTTCATCTTCGAGGATGGCCAAATAAGCGACTTGGCAAGTGGGCACTCTCTGCACAGACATGGAAAAAGAGACAGGAACCGATTACCTTACCGCGCAATACATGGGGATTTCCGAAATTAAGGGCTCCCTATATACCCCCGCCACAAAAAGGGAGCCTTTGGGAATGCCTCATACCGGGCCTATTATACGGAGCTGAGTCGAAGGCAGCCATACGTGGCAGGACCACGAATAGAGAATGTTGCGCCCTCTTTCCCTGGCCGCAGGTTTTAAGTAACCCTAAACCCAAACCTCAAACAAAGATTTAGGGTCTAACCCCCCCCTACTCCCTAGTATGAAATTCTGCCTTCAGGGACAACGTATTTAATTTCCGGGAGGCTGGGTCTTGTGGTTTAGTGTTTAGGGAAGGATTCAGTTTGCCCTGCTGCTTTGTGGGGATTAGGAGCTCAGCGTTGACCGCAAGGCGCGTCCCCTAAGCTCTTCGCTGAGCTCTCCCAAGTCCCTACCCCAAAGGTTCCAGTAACCAAGTAGCAAGTAATTGGGTTCCCAACGTACCTGCATGAGAAACCAATTGCCCCAAATTGTATTACTGTTGAGGTACTTGGGCTCTCAAGCCTGAACCACGCTTGCTGAACCCAAGGGTTTAGGGTTTAGGGGTTTAGGGTTTAGGGTCACCCAAGCCCTAAGCCCAACCTTTTGATGGGTACAACCGCCACTCTCAGCAAACCCCCGGGTGAGAGCTTATGCCACGAGCACGTCTCTGGGATTTTGAACCTTACGCTTCGGAATGGTTGATACCTCAAATGCTGCATGCTCCTAAGTACCTTATACCTTGGGAATTGTGGCATTTTAACGTACTAAGGTCATGCTTGGTCTTAGTATCAACAGTACCATTATCCCATTGCCGGTGTCCTTTCTTGGGCGGGCCATGTGAAGGACAGCAAGCACAGCACACCCCCGAATTTATTCGTCAGCATATAGGTTGGTGTTGCTGAACTTGTGACAGAGGACCTGGCCAAACCGAAAGCACAAAGGAATTGCTAATATGGGTGTTGACATACATCGTGCCAGCAATATAGACCCCCACACACTCTTATCCGTATTAAAGGGGTTCCCCCAAAATGACCCTTCTTTTTTGCAAACACCATTTTGTTAAATCCAAGTTGCATCCGTTGGGTTGTTTGTGTATACTCATGCAGGTGCGTTTCCTTGTACGACAAAATTGATCCTGCACCATTGGATTGACAAGGGCGTTTCTAGGGAAAAGCCTGAACCCTCAGCCCAGCAGGTTCCTGAGTACCTACATGGTAAGAATATACTAGGAATTTGAAATATTGTTAGTACTAGCATGCCCTACATAGATACTTGCGGTTATTGGGGGACTCTAAGCCTTAAACTCTAAACCCTACCATATAACTATTTAAGGATCCTTTGGAAAAGTCAGGCTACTACAATGCAGTTAACTACTCCGTGACGACCTGCTCGCAGAACTCTACGGGTCTCACCGTGCAGGAGATCTAGAGTTTAAGGGTTTTAGGGTTCAGGGTTTTTTGTTTTTTTTGTTTCAGTGTTTGGGGTTCAGGGTTTAGGGCTTTAGGTGTTAGGTTTTTGGGGTTCAGGGTTTACGGTTGGAGTGCTTGAGGTTTAGGGTTTTAGGGTTTGGGGTTTTAGGGATTAGGGGTTTAAGAGTTTTAGGGTTGAGGGTTTGGGGGAGGAGAACGAATAATCTTGCAATGCTCTTTGGCAACAGGCCTTTAGATATGCAGTGCCCGACAGGCGAAAGTGATGGCTTCGTTTTTTTCAGGGGAAGGGTGGGTTGATTCGTAGCCAGTAACATCTGGGTTGTTTTTTCCTCTTAAGCCCTAAGCCCTAAACTGGCATGTTCCCCATTTCTGGGAGTGGATGTTCCATAGTTTCAGGTGAGGAGTTTTTCTCCAGCCTTTATAATTTATAAGCGCATCAAATTTCTTTCTACTTGAAATCGTGCTCAAAGGGTGTAAAGTCGGGGTCAACGTTAGGGGGATCATGTATGCCTTCCGCGTGTATGGGGTCATGTGTATATATAGGCATGCAATGAAGTACCCACCAACAAGGGTTTTAAATGCGAGCGAACTGAAGAATTGCAAGCACTGCTATTTCCCATCCTTCCCATCTGCTCAGATCAGGAGGTATTGTTAATCAAGTAAAAAGGACCTCTCTTTTGAGCCCCAAATGCGCAGTACCTAAAAATGGAGCAGCGTGCGTTTCCTCATGGACAGTGTCTACGTGTCTAAACCCTAAACCCTAAACCGCAAGTATCCTGATAAGCATTTCAGACCCTTTCTGTCCAAACACAAGATAACGGTGCGTATGAAAGCATTTCGAGCTGGCAGTCCCTGTGCAAACCAGTTTGGGCCCAAAGTCTATGCCTGAGCACTGAACCCTGCACCCTCAATTCCGACTTCTGTTCTATGTAAATGCTGTGGATCATGCATATTCTCCAAACACCATATTCCAATTGAGGAGGTCCTGCATGGAATCCTACAAACCCCTCTCAGTTCACCGATCGAATTATCAGTTACGGTTTCCCGTAGTTCATTGTATTCCCAAATTGATTGCGCACCTGAATCCTGAACCCTAAGCCCTAAACGATCTGTCTTGTTTCCCAAGCGGGGCCCCAGTATAGACCTCAAGCTGCTATAGTCCTTAGTCTGGAGACCCCTAAAAGGGTATCCCTAATTTGGAAAAGCCTAAACCCCAAAACTGTTTCCTTCCCTGTAATTAAACCCCTTAAAGCTACCCCTAAACCCTAAAACCCTAAACCCCTACACCCTAAACCCCTCACCCCTAAACCCCTAACCCCTAAATCCCCAAACCCCAAACCCTAAACCCCGAAGCCTCTAAATCCACAACATATGTAGTATACTTGGCCGCCCTGGAAGAGGAACAGGGATGCAAGGATGTCTACGCCGCAGAGCTCGCCAAGGCGCTGCTTGCTTCAGAGTTTAGGGTTTAGGGCTTAGGGTTTAGGGCTTCGGGCTTAGGGTTTAGGCCTTAGGGTTTTGGATTTAGGGTTAAGGGTGTTCTCACAACCTTGGGTCTCATCGGGGGGGTCTTTGTATGAGTGTGTGGAGGGTACAAGCTTGTCAGAAGTTTGAGAAACTCCCGCGGAAGACCTGCTGCGACGTTTGCACTGGTCAGCTGGTCTTGCCACACGGACTTCTGCTGACCTAGATTTCAGGTTGTCTTCAGGGCAGTGGCCAAAAATAATAAACCCTGAACCCCAAAACGGAAACAGCACTCCATTGAGACTGGGGAGCCAGGTCTGCACGATAAGGAGCCTACAGCAACCATGTTCGAGTCATGGAGTCCTTGCGTTGAGTGCTGGTGCCACAAAAATCCTTGTTGCAAGAGCTAGAATCTCCATAATTCCGCCTTAGCTAGCTTTTACTGCTGCTATACAGTTTTCTTCTATAGCTCTTCCCTGTGCATTTCCGTGCAGTCTTCCTTGGGCTTTTAAATAGTCATGTACATCCTTTTTTGTTGGTTATCCCCAACCCAAGACCCTAGCCAATCCACACCACGGGGGAGGTAGGCCTAGAGCTGTAAGGTACGTGGCGCCTCTCTTACTCTCATTGTATTTAGTGGTCTACATCGGGTTCCTCTCCTTGATGGAAACTACCGCTTCTGTGTTTAGACATGCTGAAACCAAAAAAGAACCCTGCATAGTGTTCGCAGGATCCCATATCACTGTCTTCTGTATGTTGGGGATTCGGGGGCTCTTCGCCTCAGGTTGCACACGATTGCCAATTCAGGCCTGCTACTGCTTCTGCCACTGCTACTTGGAACCCTTCCAACAAAAAAAGAACCTAATAGAAACCCCGCCGCTAGAAGAGTACCCTCATTAGAGGAATTCCCAAATCGGGGCATGAACTTCTCTGCAAGAGGCACAATTTTGTGCCACAAAGATCCCTAAACCAGCGTGCTGGCCAGACAAGCAACCGACAATGTTGGGTTCCCGTGCCAGCCCCATCCCTTTACTGCTCCCCCAGACTCCCCTAAAGTAATTTGGGCAACTAAAAGGGAATCTAGCAGATAGTATAGGCAGGGGTGGCCAGGGAGCCCATGAAGTGACTACGGCGCCAGCGAAGGGCCCCGGATTGAGGACTGGGTCGTAGGATCTAGGTTAGGAGGACCCCCCACCCTGTAATAGTGGTATAATAAGAATATGAGAGGACCCTAATATAGTCCCTATTATCCATAATAGTCACTATTACAGGGTGGGGGGTCCACCTAAGATATAGGAGGGTCAACTTGTTTGTCAGGTCCTCCAACGGCTTCATCAACAATATCTGAGCCATGTGTCTAAACTCCTAGTAATAACCCCTATAGTACTCCCCTATATAACCCCATTTAAGGAGTTTAGACTATAGCTCATCAGATTTTAAAGAGAAGGCTAGAGGGAATCCTCAAACTGAGGAATGACCATGTCTGCAAGCAAGAGAAGTTGAAAATCCATGAAGACTGGGCGGAAATGCAGGAGCCGAAGCTTCAACACCTAAGATTTAAGCCTTCCATCCTGATGCCTCAACCGCCGCTGACAATGGGTTCCTGCCACAAGGCGCCCACGCCCAGCGCAAATCGTGTACGCGTGACCATGGCCATCTCCTTTTTTTGGGAGCGAGCACGCTCCATCATGGACATTGTTGAGGCAGAGGGGCTGAGCGTGTGGGCAGTGGGGAGTGAGAACAGCTTGTTGGGTTAACGTTGCCCTTTCTATAATCTGGAACAATGTTGATCATTTATACTTTTTTAGGGTATGAGATTCTGTATATTCGTGTAAAAAGGATCCTTTTGTCTTCTTAGGGTAACGTGGGCTAAGTCATGTATCAGAGGATTGTTTACGAGGCAGTTGAAAAAATCGTATCCCACCAGAAGGTTTGGGGCTTCGGGTAGTAGTGCCCAGGGAGGAGGCAAGGAGGATGCTCTTGGCTCTGACACAGAAGGCACCTACACCCAAGCCGCAAACGCCAATCGCCCTCGAAACCCTATACCTGGACCTCACATGACCTCAAGAGTAGATAATTTTGTCGGCTAATGTCGCAATGTATGACATAGATACTTATGTTACATGAGCTCTAGCCTAAACTCCTTCAAGAGGGTTATATAGGGATTATATAGGGGAGTACTATAGGGCCTATTCAGGGGGATACTAGAAGTTTAGACAATGGCTCGCATGATTTGGGGTCCAGGTAAGCCCTAACCGTCTAAGCCTTTTCTCCCCAAGCCTCAATGGCCCCTCACACAAACAGGCTTGTTCAAGCTGGCACTTTGTTGGACCCTGCAGGTATTCATGAAGTCTAGGCTTTCGGGTTTAGGGCATGGGTTAGGGAACCTACGAGGGTTACAAAGAGGTATGATGGGTTTATTGAGGCGATATAGCATATAACTCTTTACTCCAGCGTTCCTCAATGTAAAGCCTCTTACCACGAAGGCGTATCAAGGCTTTCGGGCTTGTTCAGGCCCTCGCAACATTACCAAAGTGTCCTAGTACCTAAATAGCAATAAAATATTTAGCGCTCGAGATGGTTTCCCGTACAAGCACTTAGGGCCCTAAACCCTAAACCTCACTACTTAGGTCATTGCAGCCTCAAGGCATGCATCAGGTGAGACCCCAAGACTACGACTCAGAGCCCTGAACCCGAAACCTTCAACCCTGAACCCTATTGTAGACCCGTGATGAATGAACTCCCTCCCCTTCATAGGGATTAGGGTTTAATCTTTAGCGGATTAAGGTTTAGGGTTTAGGTTTAGGATAAATAAGCCCCCTCCCCTTAATAGGGATTACAATAGGGATCCCAATATTAAGGTCCTTGAATGTATTTACAATAAGTTTGTGTATAGCCCGTAGTATGACCCCTGATATAGACTGTGACAGGGTGGAGGCAGTACCCAACCCTAAACCCTTATAAACCCTAGACCTGAAACCCTAAACCCTAAAACCCTAAACCCTAAACCCTAAAGCACACAGAGGCGGATGTCGCATGGAAGGAGGCTCGGGTTGGCTATGTGGTCCAGATAGTTGCCTGGTATTTGGTCTGCTACTTGGAAGCTGTTCTGGAAAGGTGTTCATAGGGAAAGGGGTCACGGTTTAGGGTTTAGGGTTTAGGGTTCAGGCTTTAGGGTTTAGGGTTTAGGGTTTAGGGTGTGGGGTTTAGGGTTTAGGGTTTAGGGCTATAGTCTAAACTCTTTAA